CTTCCCTGCCTTCCTCCCATCCCGCCATGACCCCGAACGTTCTTCTTCCCATCCGGTTCTGGCTGGTCGTTTCGAATCGGTCACGCGGACTCATTGCGGGTCCAGGGCGGATCCCCGCAGGGAGCGGAGGATAGGTCCCGGTCGGCGCCTCACCCCATAGCGCCACTGGGACTCGTCAGCACGCATCTGACTACACTTACGGTCATATTCATTCCGCAAGGTCTTTTTTACCTTTTCGACCGCGAGCTGTCTCGTTGTTCGCCGAGCCCATGTGACTCCGTTACTGCATTGTCTTCTTCTGTACGACCCACCACACCACTCTTGAAATGTGCAAAATGAGAACGAACTTCCCGCTAGAACATGGCCAAATGCGTCCGCCTCATTTTTGTCTTTTTCACATTTGTGAGACTGGTGCGGCGGTGCCCTAACGAGTGTGCGACCCCTTTCCCCCGAGAGAAAACAACTGCTCCCTTTAAAGAAAAAAAAAATAAAAAATGCTGCTGTTTTCATTTCTGAAAGGGCAGGGTAAGCCTTGGGCACTGGGTCCTCTATTAAAAAAAAGAAAAAAAAAAAAAGAAAGGGCAGGGTACGCATCCAAGCCCCGCGTGTCGGCTTTCTACCCCCTTCTCCACAGCAAAGGGCATTAGCGTTAGAAAGGACGGCAGATTAGGGGGGGTTCGAGCTCTTGACGGGCTGTTTACGGCCCCCTCTCCCCCCCCCCAATGCCATTCGCTGATCCGCCACCTGGGGGAGCTACCTTCTTCCACTTCTTTTTTTTTTTTTTTTTTCGAGAATCTTCTTCCACCTCTTTCGAGGAGCTTCGATTCCTACCAGCGGGGTCGTATCGCCACCGTAGATGTTCGTACAATTTTTTTTTTCTTTTGTGTTTTTTTTTTTTTTTTTTTTTCCTTTGTTCGTACAATCGATGAATGAGCCTCTGGGCGTCGCGATACTACTCTTCAAACAAATGTGCAAAATGGGGATGAATCTTCCGCTAGAACGATGAGAGGTACACCGCCATATTTTTTGTCTTTTGTCGATGTGGAGAGCGGGGCAGCGAGGCCCTTGATCTTTTTTTTTTCTTAACTTTTTTTTTTCCTTAGGCCTTTGATTTTCCCTTTGTTTGTTCGGGCAGTGCCTCGGGTTCGCTCCATCATTGTTTCGGTATGGGGCGCGCCTACGCTGTTATTCGGGCCAACGATTGTGATTTGGGGCCTCGTTCCACTACCCGCCAAATGGGGGAATAACGAACGTATCTTGCTGGCATTCGTGTCAGGATGCATTCGTTCGCCATTTTTATTTTTATTGCGCGTCTCGCTCCGCTGCTGGCCGAATGCGAAAAAATAAAAACAATTAAAAATAACGAACGTATCTTGCCCTAGAAACACGGAAAGATGCATTCGTTTGCAATTTTTTTTACGTTTGGCCAGTGGTGGAGCTGGTTGACGAGGCCGGTACCACTCTCCCGCCACCGAGCAGCGCATGAAATCAGTGAGGGCATCACTCAAACCAGGACCCTTTTTTTTAGGGGTGGAATTCATTTTTGCAGTGTTTGGTTTTGCATTATGCCTACGACAACCCCTACGGTTGATCCACTACACCAACGGCGACAACCCCCTATGCAGCTATCACCAGCCCACATTTTTCACCACCAACAGGGACCACGGTTGGAACCACTACGGCGACTTTTCATTTTTCAGATTGAGACCGCATAAGTTCAGCATCTACGGACGAGAACATCACAACAACCGACAACAGCATCCATCCACGATCTACAGGAAACAGCGCAACATTTACGGCAAGGAATAAGCCATGTGACTTACCCAGGTTGGAGCACAGCCTCACTGGTCCGACCGCTGCTGCTGCCCTGACCCGTGACTGTATAAGTCACGGGTGCCTGCCCTGCAACGATAGCTTGCGAGGATTCTCGAGCTGTGCCCTCCTGACCCCGACCGCTCGCCGCATTCATCGCAAACACGAACCTGCAGGCACGCAGCACGCGGCACAAGGGTCAGGTCTCACAGAGGTCGAGTCTTTCTCCTCGCCTTGCTTTTGGCAGAGGGACTCCCCGCTGCAGTCCTACGGGTTCAAGTTTTCCGGTCCAGTTGTCCACTGCCACCACTGCACGCGTCTTCCTACAACAGGTCTCAGGTCTTCATTGTCTGCAGTCGTCAAGCAGGTCGGTCAACCAGTCACCCGCCACCCACACCAGTTTGTAGTGCTCGGTAAGTCCATCCCCGTCATTTCACCCGTTTTCTAGTGTGTCCGTAAGTCACACTCTCCACCCCTCTCCACCATGAACCCGTCCGCTTGCAATGTCAGAGACAGACCACCGGCACTACCAAAAATCTTTGTCGTCTCTGCCTCCACCTCCCTCTCATTTCATTCTCCCCCCCCTCCCTCCTCGCCACTCTTTGACTCTCATTGATTACATGGAAAGCGCCTCTTTCTGCACTTTTCAAAATGGATCTCACTCTTTCTTCTTCCTATTACGTGACCAAACCATGAAGTTGCTCTCTCACTCGTTCTACTCCAACCTCCTTCTCTCTCTAATTTTCGTCGGATCAAAATCTCTCGCATATCTCACACCAGAGGAGCAATCAAAGTCAAGCGCAACTTTGGCAGCCTTCAAAGAATAACATTTGCATTACCTACGTATTCCTTTTTACTGCTTCGCGCTCTGCATGGCATCCGCGAAAGACAGAGCCTCGCGTTTTTGGGTGAACAGTGGCCTACGCAGTCTAGTAGAAAACCTTCCTTATTTGGGTCACCTACCAGGCTTCATCACTCCACTGGCGTTTTTCTTCAAAGGCTTCTCCAAGCAGGTTATCAAGCACGAACATCCTCACCTGCTGCTATCACAGCTCGTCAAATCGGGACCAGGCGCTTGGTTCAGATCTCTCATAGACCAAGCATGCAGCCTTCTTTCGCAGTACCAAGAGGCTCCGCATCCGCCACGCGAAACCTGGCATCAGACGCAACCTGCGCTCCCACGACTTGTCCTGCAGCTCCATAAAGCCACGCACGTCTTCTCCTTCCTCGAAGAAGCTGACCAAGATGCCGCCGAAGAAGAAGCCTGATACCTCTTCCGCCAAGAAGAAGACCCATAAAAGATCCTCAGACCACGCGCAAAACTGGAAATCCACTTCCTCTTCAGACCATGCGATCCCGGTGCATCAACTCCTTGTTGTGTCTCGCCCTCGCCACAGGCCTACCAGCACTAGCATACCACGCACGGCTATCACTACCCACACTAACGCACCACCCCCCTCAACCGCTCCTTCCACCCCAAGGACTCCCCGCTCCAGGAAGAAGCCATCGCAGTTCAGAACTCTATACATATTTCTCATCTTCTGTCTAGTTCTTCTTTTTCTCCTTGTTTTTTTTCTCTACCTTCTCATCTTCTTTTCTACCACCTTAAGACCTCATCTCTTTCTTCCATGAATCCCTTAATCCCAATTGTAAAGATTGCATCCATGAAATAAGCTTCAGTAGGATTGTAATCTCAAGCAAAGCATAAGCAAGCAATGGGAAAATTAACTCTACTTACATTCCCTAGACTCACATATAATGTGATAAAAAGATTGCATGCAATCTCTATTCCTTTTTTTCTGACTTTTCCAATCCAAAAACTCTAATATTTCTCACTATTGAGAGAAAAGAAAGTAGACCTTTAGAATTAAAAAAAAAAAAAAARAWAAWAATAATAATAAGAATAATAATAAGGGACGAAGTGACATCAAATATTTGTTTGCACCGAATACCAATCCAGGATTTCGCGACGTCAGACCACTAATTGGTAGCGAAGACTGAAGGCAAAAACCACTGGAGGAGCGGGGGAGGGATAACGACGAAGTGTAGCGAAAAATCCATGCCGGAGGGGCTGCGGGAAAGGCGAGGGAGGGGAAAATTTGAGGGCGATAGGAAGGAAAGTATCCAGGGTTGAAGTCGGACCGTGGGAGGTAGTAATGGTTGAAAGTAAGATCTTCCAAGCGAAAGATAGCAGCGGGGAGCGGGGAGAGAATGTGGCGGGGCCCTGGGTAATCCCAAGGCAGCAGATTGAAAGTGCGGTCGAAGATGGAACCCGGGGGTGGATAGCGGCAGCAGAGTCGACAGAAACAGCAAAAAAAAAAAAAAAAAAAAAAAAAAAGAAGCGTTCTATCACTCCAGATTTTGAACATTTGTAGCCAGGGGAGGTCACATCTAACCATCAATGGCTAGTTTGATAAAGGTGAAAAGTTGTTTCGCTTGCTATACAACGCCATACTACTTTCGTTTAAATTCGTACTTAGTCAATTGCCAATTCATTTCGCAATGGATTGTACCCGTTGCAGACAATCGTCTTGTTGCTTGAAGGAAATGGCAATCAAGTTTCCTTTATCAGAATGTGGTAAAATCATAGGTTGTAATGGTCGGAGGGTGGAAGCGGAAGACTGATCTTGATAAAATTTCCTTCTCAATACCCCGCCTTACAAGTTCTTGTCGTCGTATGCGGATTGCGGATTTTGTGTATCCATAAGTAAGGCTCTGTATTTTTGAGAAACTCATTGTCTGCCTTTTTGCTTGCAAGTCAACCTTCACGCCAAAAGGAGATATACAAATATATACCCAATAACCTCTTCGATCTCCAACAATCATTAAAAAAAAAAAAAAAAAAAAGGAGGAAAAATAAATGCACACAAAACAAAAAGGGGGGAGAGAAACAAAAACTTAAACAAAGACTTAACCTCATATGTGGGCTATTGGATCGTTTGTGCAATCCTTCGCGAAACCGACAAAAAAAAAAAAAAAAGGCCCGAATATTTTTCTTGTTTTTTCTCCCTCTATGTTGATACATATATATCTGCGCCTTCTCAAATGACATTTCTTCCCATCATCACCAAGATTCCCCATTATCTAAAAAAAAAAAAAAAGGCGTGTGGCAACTGCCATCATCAAAAGCAACCATGAAAGGTAGAGCGATTATCATGACGGATATAACTCGTAGATCACAAAGCTAGGCTACTGAGGTTGTGGTCGCAGATCCATAACCACGATTTAAAAAAAAAAAAAAAAAAAAAAAAAAAAAAAAAAAAAAAACAAACAAACAAACAAACAAACAAGCATATATATCGGAAGCACAAGCCGAAGCAAAATATGATATAACAATCACTACGCATTGCTACTTCGGGAAAAAAACCCATATAAAAATAAAAATAAAAAAAGATCAAATCACGACTCATCTGACTACAAGCATCCCTGTTTGTTATTCCCCAACCTTTGGAATGCTTTCCCCAACCTAATCATATCCTTCCCTCATTTTCTGAACATACATCTCCTATGATGTGCTAAAAAAAAAAAAAAAAAAAAAAAAAAACTCGCCTATTAAATCAGGAGCAAATTCCTAAAGGAAAACTAAATGCATCTCCTCATTTGGTTTGGTCGTTGTGAACATCCTCCCACCTGTTTTCACTTCTGCAGTATACTAAACATGTGCAGTTCCTCAACGTTGTCTTAAAATATCCCTCAATCATGCATGTCAGAAGAACCTCAGTACGTTATGCTAAAAATCACAGAACCTAGCAGTTTTGTCGGCGTAACCAGAAAGAAGGCCGCACATATGACTCAAAAAAAAAAAAAAAAAAAAAAAAAAAAAAAAAAAAAAAAAAAAAACAAGGACCAAATCACGAATAATCGGACTAGAAGTACCCTTGCCCAGTTATTCCCCAACTTGAAGTGCTTCCCTCAACCTTTCCCTCGTACTCTGAGTATACATCTCCTACGAAGTACCAATAAAAACGTGGGTTACTAAATCAGGAGCAAATTCCTAAAGAAAGACTAAATGTATGACCTCATTTGACTTCGTCGTTGTGCCTGATTCTCGTGCAATTGCAACCTTGTTTTGGCAAAATGATACGCACAGTCATCAATTTCCTGTATGTGTCACACTATAGAAGTCCCCCCTATTTCCCTTACCTTTTATGACGCACTTTCAATCCCTAGGTTTCTAAAATGGGTGCGGGTACTCAGGGTAGACAGAAAGTATGACCTCAGTAACGGATGTGAGGTGAACCTCAGTACATCATGCCTAAGAAGCATCAATCCCCCCCCCCCCAAAAAAAAAGGGGAGACAAAGCAAAACACACACAGAAAATGAACGAGCAATAGTAAGTTACTAAGAGAAAGACATGAGGTCACCTGCCTGTCCTCGTATTCTGAAGATACACCTCTAGGATGTGCTAATAAACTCCTGAGTTACTAAGTCAGGTACAAATTTATAAAGAAAGATTAAATGCATGACCTGATTAATGGTTGTATGGCATAGTCGTTGTGCAATTGCACCCTTGCTTGGCATAATCACAGGTGCACGTACTCAGGTTTGACTGAAAGTATGTTCTCAGTGATCAATGTGAGGTGAACCTAAATACATCATGGCTCCACCAAAGAATCAGACCTGTTGTTCCCCAACCTGATCATCTCTTTTTATTATATTCTAGAGATTTATCTCAACCGTCATAATATAATATGCTTACCGACCCCCGAATCTGGTGCAAAGTCTTGAACAAGACTAAATGCATGTCCTGATCGATGGTTGATAACTTATTACATTATGATTGTTCGCTGTAAATGATCCTTATGCAACTATAGGTTGTTTGGATTTGAGTTCACTACATGTGTCACAATGCAGAAGTCCCCTCCTATTCCCTTACCTTATTAATATAATGCACTTATGATCCCCAGGATACTAAAACGTGCGCATGTCCTCATGGTTGTTCTAAAATATGTCACCAGTCATGAATGTGAAGAGAATCTCAGTGCAATACGCTACATCACCGTACCTTAGCAGTTTGATAGGTGTATAGGTAGTACGGATATTTAATATATAACTGAGGAGGGGGCAAGACAGTGAAAGAATGGGCAGAGGCACAAGAACATGAACCAAAGAAAACTCAGCATCTGTATCAACGACAAAAGAGGTAAACGTAACCATTTCTTTGTTTTGCAGGAGCATCATCATGGATAAATTTTCCAGCATCATCTTTGAGCACCTCGTTTTCCTCCCCTTTCGGCTATTCAGCATCATATTGCTTCCTCTTTTTCACAACCCGATCCTTCGATTAGCATTCCCCATCAAGTTTATCTTCTCTATTTTTTTCATCATCCTCCTCCTTATATTTGTGCCCCTTTTACTCATATGTGCTTTCCTCTTTGGCAAAATCCTACATAGATCCGACCTGCTAGCACACTTTGGTATATATAAAAAAAAAAAAAAGAGGGAGGGGGGGAGGGGGGCGGGGAAGCAACGGAGAAGCATTTCTGCACAAGCCTTGCACCAATTTAGTATTATAAAAAAAAAAAAAAAAAGGTTTTAAACAGACAAACTTTGTTGGTGCTTTGCAGATGGATCCATGGATAAACGCATTTCTTGCAGCCTCTGGCCCTCAATCCGTTATCGGGGTCGATGTCTATGCAGTACTACCTATCCTCCCACCTGTTTTCACTTCTGCGAAAATAATTGATTGTCTCAACCCCCTCACCCAAAACCTTAATGAATTACTCTTCACAATCAAACCAAATAATTCCAACGATCTCTATAAGGTCCATGTCCATGCATTGAAATTAATGAACCCTCTTCCACCACCTCCTTCTCAACCCCCTCCCCCAAACACCCCACCCTCACCCCCAAACAATTTCTTCCCCAACACCCTACCGTTTATCAACACCGCCTCCTCCTCATCCTACCACCATCCTCAAGTTACCGTTGAAGGTTTTGAACAGCTAAAACAGCAAATGGCACTCAAGGCTGAAGAAAGTCGTCTCTCCATTGAACACCTCAAGAAGAAGCTTATGGAGAAGGAAGAAGAAAACAGGGCTCTCAACCATCTGTACCAACGACTCAAATCAGAAATGGACGCCATCCATCAGAAACTCAATGGTAAGGCACCACCCGCGTATGACGAATTGACCGAATGGAAGAAAATTTTCACCTCCCCATGCTATTATGCGCAAGTGGAGGCATATATCCGCTTCCTCGCTGTCAACATGAACTATTCCTTCCGACACAAGTCTATGGCTTCAGACTTCGGAGCAAGGGTTGCGTCAGTGGCAAATGACAGCTTGGAGCCCCTCATATCAAAGGATACCAAGCAGCACCTTGCCAACGCCATTAGAAACGGCATGGAGAAAGCAGTCCTGATCATCAAGGTCGAATACAACTATTGCATGAGTCTCGTCAGGCGAGACGAGGACAGGTACGACAGGGTTGTCACCCAAAATTTATTTATCGCCCCTGAACTGTCAACAAGTCCACGCCGTTCGCGTTATGGGGCTTATCATTTGTCTGTTATTATTGTATTTTCCGCAGGCTCAATATCCCCGAGTTCGAGTACTCTTCATACCGGACGAAGGATGCGCAACACAAGAACGATGACTTCAAGAGATCTTCTTCATTTTTCAAGAGGCACTACGATGAAGACAAGAACTGTGACTACGACTCGGACTTCTACAGAGTCTCAAAGAAGGCCTATCAGGACTCGCACCACAAGAATCACGATAAAAGTAGAAGCTCCAACACTGACCTCCCCAGGACATATGAATAACCACCCACCTTTCCCAATTCCTTCAGTTCCCACCATCCTCTCCAACTTCTCATCACCCCCTTCCATTTCTGACCTTCGACTAGCAACTTTTGCACTTCAAAAATCCACTTTCTGGCTCCGTGACCCCGCTGACTTTATCGCCGCATCCCCTACTCAACACTTCTCTAACTGGTCCCTTCTTCTCTCGTCTTCCTCGGGACGATATTCACACCCTGTACTCCAATGGACTCAGCATGGATTGAGACTTAGATTCGATGAAACATCACATGTACCTACTTCTAAGATTATTGAAGTTAGAAAAATGGTTAAAAAGGTTCTACCTGCCTCTAGTTTTAAGAAAACTATTAAAAGTACACTACCCCCTCCTCTTGTCATTCCAAATCATAACAACCCCCCTAATCACATTCAGTTCATCTCTGAAACTGTCTCTCAACTTTTGTCAAGTAAAGTCATAGAACCTTTTCCCCACCCAATTGTTGTAAACTCGGTCTTAGCCACTCAAAACTCTTCTAAAACTCGCTTCATATTGGACGTCCGCTTCGTCAATCTTTTTCTTACCTTTCCTCCCTTCCACTATGAATCAATTGACGATGTCACTTCCAGTCTCTCTGGATCTCCTTCCCAAGACTTTCTTACGTGTTTTGATATAAAAAATGACTACTATCATATTCTCAACCACCCTCACTCCCGTCCCTATCTTGCCTTCAACTGGGACAATCAAACTTATCAGTTCACAACACTCTTCTTTGGCATTTCACCTGCTTGCTGGATTTTCATAACTGTTATGCAAGAAATAATGACAGAAGTTAGACTTCGTCATGTCTTCGCCACCTCGTACATAGACGACTCTGCATTAGCCAACCCAAACTTCCCCCTTTTCCTATGGCAGACCTTCAACTACCTCACACTGCTCCACAATCTAGGATTCTTCCTCATCCTCAATAAATGTTCTCTAATACCTTCGCAAAGTATTCGCTTCCTCAATTTTATTCTTGACTCGCATAACAAACGAATCAAGATACCTCAAGATAAGATCCTAAAAATCCAACAGCTTATTCAATCACCCCAACCCTCCTGCAGCAGGACAATCGCGAAACTCGCTGACAAACTTGCCGCCCTCTCCAAAGCTTTCATGCCCACCCATCTCTACCTCTCTTCACTCTATCAAACCATCAATCCCGCCAACTGGGACTCACCAATCCAAATCTCTGACAACCTCATATCAGACCTCTGTTGGTGGCTCCTTCACCTGCCCCTCTTACCAGGAAGACTCTGGACAGTTCGCACAACCACCCTGTCCATTTTCACCGACGCATCAACCAACCAAATTACCGCAATCATTCACTATCTCTCTAATCAACCAATCATATTCAATCAATGCTTTCCCGATAATCTACTTCACTCATCATCAACTCACAGAAAACTCTTCACAATACGCGAAACGTTTAGTTTTCTCTCCTCTAATCACTCTCATTTACTTCCTTCTTCCTCCATTAGACTCCACTATGATAGCCAGACAGCAATCGCACTCCTTCTAAAAATGAATTCTACAAATCACTCCTTCAACCCATGGCTCCGTGACATCGCCTCTATACTCGTTACTTTCGATGTACTCCTCAACTCCTTATGGATACCACGATCACTTCACACAATCACTGATTCCATCTCAAAAATAGAAGATAACACAGATTGGGGGTTAGCTAGCCATCTCCGCGTCACAATTTTTTCCACTTTAGGCATACCGAACATAGGCCTCTTCGCCTCCGACTACCATCATGTCTGCCCAATTTTTGTCTCTAGAAACTGGTCCAACAAAGCCTCGCAAATAGACGCACTGTCCCTTAACTGGAATGATCTCCCGTCCCAATCATACAGATGGGTTTCCCCCCCCCACCTCACTCCTCCATCAAGTCCTAGCCACAATAGTAGCAAGCCCAGCACACTATCTACTCATCCTACCCTCTTCTCAACACACTTCGTGGTACCCACAAGTACTCTCACTAAAAATTATCCACCGTTTCACCATCCCCGACTCCGAATTCTCCTGCCTTCCCAACCATATGGTCAACCCCTCCGCCCCCAACCCCGCAATCCTCGGACTCACGGCTATTTTTTTCGCGACCTAACTCATCACCTGCACTAACATCACCCCGCCTTTTCCACCCACGCTTCATCCCATATCCATATCTCATGAATGTCCCGACATTGCTCCAAGTACCCTGCCGCATCATCTCCCCCAAATGCCAACCCTCCTCTATTCCCGCTTGGACCCCACCTATTATAAAACTATGCCCACTTTCCCCTTCATACAAACCTATCTCCCCAAACCACCTTTCTATTCGTTTGTTGAATCCACCACCACTCATCGGTCCCGCCCCGCGCATCGGCCGGAATAGATACCCACCCCTCAAATCTTGCCCAATCCTCTCATAACTCGCCAACATATCAGGAAGCCATCCAAGAAACGTCTCTCCATCACTGCACCCATCCCGCAACCTAATCATAAATCGCCCCCCCTGTCTGTCAGTCTTTGTGTAACCTGGTTGCACGGCACCTTGATCAATATCTATTTCCTTGTATTGCAAACGCAACCCCTCTCCGCATCGCTGCCAACTCTCCCACAAATACAGAAAAACTCCACCATCGCGATACGCCTGTGCTTCCGGATACCCCTTCAGAACCTTCACCTTCTCTCGGATATACTCAATCACCCTCCTCAGTTTCTCCCACTGCATCGGCTTCGTCGACTCCTCCGTCACCCCCCTCTGTAGAGAATACTCCTGATATGCCTTCCTAAACGCTCGTACTCTACTACTCTGACAAGGATCTTCTGTACCATCTCTTCCCAGCAATCGGAAACAACCACTCAGACAATTGACAACAACATCAACAGTCGACGAAGAAACCAAGGGAAGACCTTCAGCATTAGATGTACGACATCGACCTTCAACCTCAACAAGCCATTGGCTACTTATAAATGACAGCACATCCAAGTCCACGCATGTCATGCAGCTTCTTCCAACATTGTTAGGGTCCAACTATTCATTCAACGCCAAAAGAACCTTCTTCATGCCGCTTTTCCATCGCCGACCAGCTCCGAACTCTGCTATCAAGTTGCTGCTCCATTCCAGACCTGCTTCATATCCGCCTTCAACTTCCGGAGTAGGTCTTCTTTGTCTCCAACTTCCATCACTCATGCGTTCGATCCACCATTCCCTGCAAGATGACGTTGTCACTTACTGGACGATGGAGGGAGATGGGCGGTGTTTGGAGGTGTGCGGGCCTCTGGCCCACCTTTTCGACTCACTTCTGTGTGATCTGCCAGCATCAGTAGCATGCTATTTTCCTATTTTATCTGGACCAGACCTGTGTAGCATTATGCCTACGACAACCCCTACGGTTGACCCACTGCACCAACAGTGACAACCCCCTATGTAGCTATCACCAGCCCACATTTTTCACCAACCGGGACCACGGTTGGAACCACTACGGCGACTTTTCATTTTTTGGATTGAGACCGCACAAGTTCAGCATCTACGGACGAGAACATCACAACAACCGACAACAACATCCATCGACGATCTACAGGAAACAACACAACATCTACGGCAAGGAATAAGCGATGTGACTTACCCAAGTTGGAGCACAGCCTTACTGGTCCGACCGTTACCGCTACCCTGACCCGTGACTGTATAAGTCACGGGTGCCTGCCCTACAACGATAGCTTGCAAGGATTCTCGAGCTGCGCCTTCCAGACCTGAACCGCTCGCCGCATTCATCGCAAACGCGAACCTGCAGGCACGCGGCACACGGCACAAGGGTCAGGTCTCACAAAGATCGAGTCTTTCTCCTCGCCTTGCTTTTGGTGAAGCGGTCCCACCCGCCCTTGATTTTCCCGCGGTGTGCGGGCCTCTGGCCCACCTTTTCGACTCACTTCTGTGTGATCTGCCAGCATCAGTAGCATGCTATGATGCTAAAATCAGAGACCCGTGAGTCTGCTCTTGGGTCAAGGAGAAACTTGAAGCATGGGCGAAGACGAAAGACAATTTTTCCAACCTGCAACGGTGGTGGGATGCCTGCATCCAGTTTACCTCTAGCATGCTGAGCTGTTTTTTCCAAGATCGTGGCCCTCCACGATAACAAGGAGGAAGCTAAAGCAAAGAAAGCGGTGGAGGAGGCAGAAGAGGCGATTGCATTGGTGCCACAAGGGTCGTCTGGTGCGCACTGGTGGGGGGTGGTACGTGCGGAACGTATGCAGATTTGGGATGACATTCAGGAAACAAAATCCAACAGGTGGAAAGAAATACTGACGGTAAAGGGTATTGCCACAGGCGACCACATGACCAAGCAAACCTTTCAAAAGTTGCTTTCATGCCATTCACACAAGGAAATGAAGACACTCCAACACCCCTTCGATCAACAGGCTCCATTGGCTACGTCTTCAAGGGAGTTATGTAATTATGCAGAGGACTACTTTTGTGATATCCTGACTTCAAGAAGGAACTTAGACGAACTTATATTGGGCTAGAGGCAATCCTCCGATTTATGGGAGGTTGTCACTGCCAGAATCCCGTAGGAGGGCCGACTTGATTTGGATCGGCCGCTGACTGAGGTAGAGATTAAAGTAGCTGCTAAATCAATGGCTAAAGGCAAAGCCCCAGGTTCTGACGACTTCCGGTCGAAAATGTTCCTGCACTTTTGGCCTGAGATTGGCGACACTCTGGTAGAACTATACAACAACACGTTGACAGGGGACAATCTCTCAAACAGTATGTGTCATGGAGTCATCACATTACTATACAAAAAAGGGGCAAGAGACGATATTCGCAACTGGAGGCCTATCTCCAGACTAAATGTTGCGTATAAGATCTTAGCTAAAGCATTAGCAAGGAGGCTAGCAAAGTACTTACCGAACTTAGTAGGTCAGGATCAGGCGACGTTTGTACAGGGCCGATCGATCTACGTGAACATTGTCACGTCGATAGAGACGTTGGAAATAGTAGCGAAGGAAAATAGATCGTTGTCCATCCTGCTGCTAGACTTAGAAAAAACCTATAACGGGGTAAATTGGAGTTTTGTGCTCACAACCCTGCGTAGAATGGACTTTGGAGAGAATTTATGTAGATGGGTAATTGTCATGTACACTCATTCCACCACGGTGGTCATGGTCAATGACCTGTTATCTGACTCCTTTCCACTCTCTCGCTCACTGCGGCAAGGCTGCCCATTGGCACCTTTACTATTCGTCGTCCAACTGGAAGTGATCTTGTGTAATATTAGAAGTCGTTCAGAGATAGTGCGGCTAACCCTCAAGAATTCGGAATATAAAGCAAAAACCCTTGCCGATAATCTGTTCGTTATCAGTGTGAACTCCGCTACGTAACTGGAAGCTTTGAAAGTTGTATTGGATGAGTATTCACTATTTTCGGAAGCCGCCGTCAACTGGAGGAAATTTGTGTACTTTCTTCCACAATAGATGTCCTTGAGGGTGGACTGGGGTATGCGCCACATCAATAAGGGCGAGGCCGAAAGGTTCTTGGGAGTGATGGTTGCACTGGACTCGTGTCAGAACTCCCAAGAGGACATCCTACAAAATCGTGTGGTTTCAAAAATTAAAAATTGGTCTGGAGCGCCCCACCTGTTAATCTTTGGGCGTGCGCTGGTAGTTAACACCTCGCTTCTATCGCTCATTAACTTTATGGGATCTGTACGCCTGCTAAGCCCCACCTTCATGGCATTAATCAAAAGGCTGTCAGCGGGCTTCATCTGGAAACCAAAAGGAGAACAAGATCAAGGTTTCATTTCAAAAATAGCGTGAGAATTAATCCCCCAGCCCAGAGAGGAAGGAGGACTGAGAATAAGTGATCCGGAACGGAGGAGCACCCTTCAACTGGCGAGTTGGATTGTCAAGGCCGCAGAGTGTGAGGGCAGGGAGCACCGGTTACTGATGGGGGAGCACATCTTGGCAGCAGAATGAGAACTTGCACGCGAAGAGGATGTCTGGCTGTGTCTGCAACTGGACTCGTACCCGAACAGAAGAATCCGATCGCAACTTTGGTCGGACGTGATAAAGGCATGGAGGAGGGTCAAACCAACGGAATGGGCCGAACCAACTTCCAAGGAAGAGGTTTTGGGCCAGCCGTTATTTGATAACCCGTTTATCACAGACTCGGGGTGCGCTCGCTTCAGAGCCAACAAGGACCCAGGCGCCTTCGGGGAAAGCTGGATCCGCAGAGGTATCCTGAGAATCAGGGATGTGTGGGATGGAACGTTGGGGAGATGGCACTCAGAACAAGATCTGAGGCGGATGCTGGAAGGGCTGCACAAAGTTGAGGATAAGCTTAAGGAGCTACTTACTGCGATACCTCCAGCCTGGAAAATCATCCTAGCACAGGAAACGGCGACCCCCCGGGCACCTGGTATGTTACCAGAAACCCATCGGATCCCCCCACATATTGGAAACTGATCTCCTACTCGAACGAGGGCAGCAGTCAGTTTCAGGAATGGACGAGATCTTCTTACTCCAAGTTCCTTACCTGCAGCGCCCCCTCAGATACAGATTCAGAAGATGGCGGTCAGGAAAGCATCAGAGATCAAGGTCTGAGCCACCCTCCGATGGGTAGTCCGCTCCTCTAGATGAAGGTGGTAGAATGCTGGGACGATGAGGGAAAACACACAGTCTTATCCAACTCAGACCTACCCCTGACGGAACGTTGCCTGGACTCGACGGCTGGGGTTGGAGAGGACTTGGTAGAGAGGAAACAATGTTGCCACTCGCCCGAATGAAGGAGACAACGAAACTGATGATGCCCACCAGGCGTCCGATTACAGTAGCAGCTGAAAGATGGGAGACGCAGATTGCTGGAGATGGACAAACCGCGTCACGGTTCGTAGCGGACCCACCAGGTGTGGTGATCCGCTAGTGACAGAGATGGAGATGGAGGAAGAAGGGGGGGAGCGAGATGGCACAACGCAGCTCCCCACGCAAGACTCCAACGCACATACTCCAAAATGTGCAAGTGAAGAATGAGGCTGAAAACAGACAATGGCTGGGGTATACCCCAGCGGACTGACGGGACTGGACTGGACTGGCTGGTACCGACAGAGGTACCGGCTTGGACTGGCTGGTACCGACAGATGTACCGGCCTGGACTGGCCTACCCCGAATACAACACAGGCCTGTGAGAACAGGCCAAGGGGCTGGTCTCACAGGCCAACCCGAGGTCCGCTACACGATCCTCGGCCTGTGATGGATTGCCTAGATACAAACATACTTCCGCCAAGAAACGGAACTCTACCAAAGAAAAGAAAACCTGAGTAGTCTAGGATGCGGAGCAAGCTCCGTGCTGAGTCCATGCGATGCAACCTAGGATATAAAATGTCACAAAACAGCAATGTCACAGCTAACAGCCTAAGTGAAAGTAGAAGCAACTAACTAACATACATGTCCTAGGAAAGCAAAAGCAACTAACTAGCATACATGTCCTAGGAAAGCAGAAAGTAGTGACAACTAGATTCTAGAATGTTGGAGGCACTAGCCTCAGTCT